CCACGCCCACCAAGCCATGCCCACAGAACCAGTAGTAAAAAAATTGAATTTCACCACTGGTACCATCATACAATTCTGAAAAGTTAAGGAAAGCATTCAAAAGACATGTGTGAAGTAGAGTGACTTAGAAGAAAGACAGAGCAATGGTTATATTCTGAACAAGATTAGAACAAAAAGAAAGAGTTGTAAAGGAGCAAATTACAGCTATAGGATTGGATGATATCCTATAGCAATCATTCTAAAGCTAAATCGATTTGAAAGTAGTCATTATCCAAATTGGAGATATCAGAATATTACACCCATTCCTCACTTAAGTGACCATTCACAAATGCAACAGAAATAAAAACTTTACTTTCCAAACAACCAATGGAATTATGACTAAATTTCAGACATCTAACAACACACATAGGAGTAAGATCAATGATACTATGATATTACAAGAGAGCTTTTCCGGTAATCCTTGATTTACAACCATAATGGAGGCTGCCCATTATGGCAGTAAATAGTGATGGTCAAAAGGCAGATAATCATATGACCGATTTGATTTTATGTCATTTTATACTGTGACCATTAAGCAAATCACCATGGTCATTAAGTGAATTGATAGTCATTAAGTGAATGCCATAATCATTAAGCAAACCCATGATTTGCTATTGGATGTTCTTCCTAAAGACCAAAAATAAATGCACGGTTTTGGCAAAAACATAGTAAATCGCAGTCATATAACCATGAGATGCTGCAAATAGCTGTAAATCCAGGCTGGTTGCCAAGCACCTGCAATGGAGTCTCATAATGTGTGTGGGGATGGGGAGAGAGAAGGTAGGCATCAGGAGCGGATCAGAAGTACCTTTTGCAGGGTCCATTTTAACTTTAAAAAGTCACTATGACAACTATTCATCAGAACTACCTGTAGCTGAAAGAAATTGCAGAAGCCAGTGATCTTTGTAGCATCTCTTTTTCACATGTTCACTTAGTGACCATTTTGCTTAATGACCTAATTGACAGAACAGAACAAGGATTGGGTGTATATACACTATTCTGAGTTCCATTATGGAGAGAAAAAAAGAATGATGTGTTGTAAATTTGATAAAACACAGTGGGTTTTCTGGAAAATTGACATGATCAGAGTGGGATGGATCTCATTTAAATAAAACACATCAAGATTTAGAAGCCTGAGCATAGCATAAAGCACTTGGATGGAGACTCTCTGGCTGACTCTTCATACATACAACATTTTAAGAGATAAACAGTAGTTTATCAATCACATTCACTATTAGCATATTGAATGAATTTAAGACATAATAGTTTGTTTTGGTTTAGAACACTGAACACAGCTTCATGATATTTGGTCTGACCTACGAGTTCAACATTTGAAGGGCAAAAACTACACAGCTCTCAACTTAAACAATGTCCACATATTGCACAGGAAAACATGAACAAAGCTGTCTGCCTCTATGACCTACAAATATCACTGTTCATTTACTGTGGGCAGTAACTGTCATATCTTCACCACGTATCTAAACAACCGTGCACAAAGAAAACCGCTCAAAGCAAAGTTTGTACATTCCAGGATTAAAAGGATGGGGGGAAATGCTGATAGTTCAGAGAAAGCTAAGATGACAGAAGTTGGCTTTAAGCTAGAACCTAGCTGTTTAAAATCTGGACAAAAAGATCTAGTATTAGGGGGAAGCACACAAATATTAAAAATACCTGTCAACAATTTTTGGAGTAAAAAACAATATTAAAATGGGAGTGGGGAGAGAAAAATAAGTCTTCTCAACTAAAGACTTGATGTTTTGAAAAGCACCTGTCAGGAAGGAATAGAAAGTCTTCATATAATTACCGTTTTACATGCAGATTGTAAACATGTAGACCTGTGCATTTCTACGGAGTTTCTCAGTCATCTAGGTCATAATTGTCTCAAAGGTGCTTTTTCTAAAGGCAACTAGACTGAAAAAGAAGTTTTGATTCTCATCCAAGTTGTGATTGGATAGCGGAGGGAAGACTTGTACTATGTCTTTTCATGTAAGGAAACTGAAGCATGTCAAGTAGCCCTCAATTCCAGAACTAAAAAATAGCAATTAACAAAATTTATCTGTATTATTTAGCTGGATTCACACATCAAAATAAGCCATAGCACAGCTTGTTTAGTTTTGATTAAGTATGATATGTAAATCCATATATGGCCTAACATTGTATGCAAATCAAGCCAGTATGGACTGTTACACTACGTTTTACAACATGACTTAGTATGGTTAGTATTGCATCTTTACCACTTTCTTTGACCTCTGGTCTTCTCCATTAGTGGCCACATAGAGTATTAGTAGCAATAACTAAGTACTGTTGCTAGGTTACTGCCATATCAACATTAGATCATCATGAGAAACCAAAAGAGGTTACTATATTCACTAGAAAAACACCAAACTGTTTAAAAAGAACACTTATTTCCAGACTTATTTTTACTCTTCCCAAATACTACTGAAATTGCAGAAGCCACTAAAGTCAATGACTATGATCAGTTAACCAGAATTCAAAAAGTAATTAGGCGCTTGTCCTGAAGAGGCTAAAAAGAAGAAAGGATAGACTATCTTTAAATAGCAATGACAGCGTTAGCATTATTCTCTCTATTTATTCAAGTAATGACAAAATCTTTTTGGTTCCATTTTCAGTTTATTTTTGACTATCATGCTGTAAGATACTAGGTTGATAAGCATTGATAGCAAATACACTAATGTGACATTTCCACAGGATGGAGCAATAATTCAGCTTTTGAATAATTATCGCTTCTTTTCCACTCGAATCTTAATCTGCAATTCTTGTCAATACTTAATGAACTTTAAAATCTATATCTGTATCTAGATATCTGGTTCTATCTATCTATTTATCTATCTATCTATTATATCTATCCAGGGTGGAGTAGTTTTTCCAATAAAGGAGAATATTTGTAGCTCAGGGTTGACATAAGGGGTCCTTAGTGCTCTTTGAGCTTGCTTGTTTTCTTGCAGACGTTTCATTATCCAAACTCAGTAACATGATGTTATGTGATGTTACCTAGTTTGAGTAATGAAAAATCTACAAGAAAACGAGCAAGCTCAGAGAACACCAAGAACCTCTCAAAGCAAGTCCTTGCTGGGGGAAAAAATGGCAGTAAAATGGTGATTATTTTAATTTTCTAAACAGGAATTTCTTTACTGAATTTTGTGATTGTGAGCATCTTATATTATATGTATTTATTAAATTTATTCACCAGCCATCTCACTCTGCAAAGCGACTCTGGGAAACTAGTAATATTCATTAAAGTGATGCAGTATGGTAAACTGCTTTTACTCTATTGCCAACAATACAACAAGGATGTGTCCATCTGGTTATAAGGCTTGAACATTACTCAGAGGACTTATTCAGCTGAAATATAGAATTCTCCAGCAAGTATTAACTTGTTTCCTAATGAGAACTGCTTGTCCTGGGCATCTATCTATAATAATAGAGCATAAATAGAACTTATGCTTCTCTAGAGTAATCTTCTTTAGTTATAATTTTCTGGAATGCAAGATTGATATCAAAATTGTAGGTCCTTGAATGCACTAAATCTGCAGAGTCCAACATGGATGCATAGACATCTTGCTTGCTAAGTCTCATCCCTCTTGATTGTTTTATGGCTTGCCAAGTATCATCACAACCATAATGCTTTAAGTATGCACTCTAACCCATAAGATAGCAAACACCTATATAGTCAAAGATAAAATAAAACAAATTGTTCATAAATACTACAGTATGTCAGATATTGAGTCATTTGCAATTTTGTCTGTTGTCTGCTATTTCCTACAGCTATTTTACTCTAGGTTATTTTTAAAAGTTTTTGATTAACTTAAGTATAAAAACAAGAAGATTTAGATTTGATTTAAAAAAGGTACTATATATATAGAGTAGAATGTACTATATACAGCATAATTACTCACTATATCCCATCTAAAAATTATATACACCATCCTAATTGAGACTCTTACAGAACATTAACAATTGTATATAAAATTAATCAAAACCCTGACAAGACAGACCCCAGTGACAATCCGGGCAATAAGATATAATGTGTGTTTTGGCACTTAATTGTACTTTTAGAGTTGCATAAACAAGGATATATTATTAAGAAACAAAAAGGTGAATCAGTGTACTAGCGCTAACAAAAGTTAGCATTACAAGAACAAGCAGTAGCAAATTTGCAGATATACTCCCTGTCCTGACATAAAAGCAACATATGTGCTATCATTTCATTGTTTATTAGTTGAGACCACTTCATAAACATGGTTTCATTTCATAGCTGCCAATATTTGGTTGTAATCACAGTTAGTCATAGTTATTCACACCTCTGTCCACCAGCTGCCAACCCACCACTCTTATATTTTAAGTAAAAAATGCAAAGCAAAGCACCAGCAGCATTATTTTTTATTTCCAGGAATGTTACTATGCTTCAAATGGATATAAAAAGCCTTCTTAGAAAATAAAGAGATCAATGAATAAAAATTAGCTTTGTTTCTTTGGTTGGAAATATGCCGCCTGCCTAGAAAGTACTCGAAGGAAAACAAGAATATTCTGTTGGCAACAGATGGAAGTGATGGTAAGAGTCGTTTTGGTAAGCTGGATATATCCTTCACAATAGTTCTTTTAAAACTTATCAAGATTTCATAGCAGTTGTTTTGTGAGAGCACCCACAAAATTCCCGAAGTACCAAATATATGAATAAAATTAGGGATTCCTACACTACAGTAAATTGTTAAGTTAAAAAAAACCTATTACATCTGTTTAAGGTAAGTAGCTCTATGATGTTCAACTTCACAAGACAGCTTTTGTCACCTTGGTGCCCTCAAGATGTATTGGATTAGAATGTCTTCCACCAGCCACCTGTGAATTATGAGATGTTTGATCAAATACACCTAGAAGCCAGTACATTGGGTGAAGCTGTTTAAAACCATAAGGGCAGATAAAAATTTAATAAGATGACTTACCATCACTTTGGGCTTGGCTTTTCATTTCTTCCTTCCATGTTGGAATATCTTTCAAGGGTACATAATCCCGTACATATTCTTTACGTCTCTCTTCCAATGTCATTTTCAACAAACGTTCTATCAGAAAGCACATGAATATGTTTTAGCAAAATTATGAAGCAGATCCATGTGTAGCATGAATCAATTATGGAGTTCTAATACAAGTATTTGAGGAATTTATGTAGACTAAGATCAGATTTCAAGGAGATTCAACTAATTTCTTTACTCAGCCTAATTACTAAGACTTGGAGTAACCAAAACTTCAACAACTCAGATATGATTTCAGAAGCTCAATAAATTGTACTTTAAGTACTTTAAGCCTAAATCCATCTGAGAAAGTTTAGGGATGAGAGCAACATTTAGTTCTTAAGAAAGATTGCATTTATTCTGTTTATATATCCTTTTTTGGTATTTTATATTACAGTTTGTAGGCCACTGTTTGATCTTGGCAGATTGATTAGTTTACATGTTATTGTTCTATAGCAGATAACTCAATTTTTAAATTATATAAATTATTCTAAGCCATTTAAACATGGTAATCTTCACTCCTCACTTGAATTTCCACCGAGAGATGCTTCTTGATATTATGGTTAACAAATCCCACAAGCTATTACATCATGTTACAACTTGAAACAGTTTTTGAAATTATTTCATTAATGGTTATTTCATAATTTAGAACTTACCTTCCATTGGCATTAGGCATTTAAATATTTGTCTCAAAAATAGCATATAGTACATACATTAGTGACACCACCACCGTATCAAAGTGATTAAAGACATGTGTAGCACTTAGGGAATTGATAAAATACAAAAGCTACCATTTGAGTCATCAGTGACAATCATCTACCTGGAAGTAGCCATGGAAGCATAAATATTGTTTATCTGCACCGGCAGTTCCATTTCTAGCATTAATAATAAAGGGCAGATATGATATTGTTGCCATTACAGAAACTTGGTGGGATGAAACCCACAATTGGAACATACAGTAGAAGGATTTCAATTA